AAAAGCAGCGTACCTAATTGACATCGAAAGTTACCAAAATGCAAATGCGTCGTTTATGACAAGGGGGCAAGGAGGCAGATTGAACGAAAGCTCCAAACTATAAGTGGTTTGATTAAAATGAACTAATTCGAACTTCTAGTACAATTAGATCAATAGTAATTTACCAAATATGTAAAGATACAATTTTGTATGGTATCGGTACTATTTGATTAACCTGCGTAAGTAAGCGTCGTTAAGTGTTACGTATTAGAGACTTAATGGGGCTGGCAACATTCAGTCGTACATCTCACTCGAACTTGTACTAAAAGCAGTGAAAATTCGCTAATTGTCCCGTTCGCACAATTCCTATTGAACTAAAAAACAGATAAGCTATTAGGATCGCCTTGCGTCTTTGTCTCCCGCAATGTAGACAGTTCCTTGTTCTTACTGAACTAGAAAGACCCGTGAACCCGTGACCAAAACGAACTAGATCTTAATAAGATCGTGCAACAGAAACTAGTTCGTTTTGGTCATTGTCCAGAATTCATGTCTAACATGATTATCATTAATTACAGGTTTCTTACGAAGACGCTATGATTTCTTTTTACTTTTCCAATATTTTTATATGTGGTAAGAAACATCTTACATGACAATAATTTAGTGAATAACCACGAATCTTAAAATCATTCCTAACAGTTCATGAAATAAATAATAGGTGCTGATACTCTTTTGCATTTGCAGCATTTGCTGCGTATCTTCTAAATCGGATTACCATCTTTAAATATCAATCCTTCGCCACTGATATGCAAGTACCTTTGTACCATTAAGTATGCAATTTTATTTAAGTTTTCTACATTCAAAAATCTGACAAATAATCTTACAAAAATAATCATTACTTATCTAGATATGAACATCCTTGTATTAGTAAAATTTCAGTATATTAATTACGAAGATTGTTGTCTTCTGTTATTTTTAACTAGCACGTTACCTCTTTGTCAAAAGCTTTTTTCAACACAAAATTTTTATTAAAATTTGAATACTTTAAGTAATGCTTTAAGTATAACGTTGTCATTTAAAAAAATTATCTAATTACATCATAATTTCGATGCACGAACACATATCGTATACTTAAGTACAAACATAAAATTGAGCTATCAATGTTATCACACGATATACTTAATTTAAATAATAAGTAATCGTGATAGTGGGATAGTATATAAATAGTTGCTATAAAAAGATAATTTAAACTTAATAATATAGAAAATGCACAAGCAACACGAATACCATGAAGAATACAGAAAGCAAAATACTATATTAATAATAATAAGTCAAAAATCCACGTCGCTAATTGCTACGTTACTAATTATAAAAAAGGACTTTTAACATAAAATGAAATCGCTATAAAAGCAAAATATCGTCGAGGGGCTTCGAAACCGGTCGTCACTAACTTAAAAATGCCATTGGGAATGATAACTCTTGTCTTAGGAATCTTCTATTGTAATATCTCAGTTCTGGGCAAAAATACACAGACACCAAGGAATTTTCATCTGACCTTCTGACAATTTTCCGTGTACTTTTCGCAAATTCCTAAGCTCAGTTCAACTATTTTTACAATTGTAAGTGCTTTTAATTGCAAATTATATTTTAAAACTTAGTCAGGCGTCAAAACTGATAAAAGATAGGACCAGTCTTCACTGTGATCACCAATAAGGTACGAATAGTCTGGAGCACTTCACGTACCACTAGAGGGCGAAATTTGTAAGAGTTCTTTGTCAATGCGATCCAATCGTATATAAGCTTCAATGACTGAAATGTTGGGGCGGTGTTTCAGGACGCGACAGGGAATTCGTAGGACGCGTGCTTGTCACCGCTGCGCGATAGTCACGCGTAGGTCTCCCTGAAGCGTTTCTGCAGGTGGTGCGCGGCGTTCATAATGCGGTTGGGCAGAGTAACGTGTACGTGGGGAGCAAGAACTGGTGGTGCAGGGCTGGGGGCGCAGGTTAAAGGCAGAGTCGGCAACTTCGCGTCGTTGTCGGGATGACAGAAGAAAGCGACGCAGTGTCGCCCGCGGGCACGGGCGTAGTTGTCCGACGGTACCACGACACGATGCATCTAAAATTGGTACGTGTAAATGGTTTAATTTACACTGTTAATTGGACTTCGGTTGAAAATATACAACATCAAAAGTGTCTAGGGTCAAGTACGTTGTTTTTTAACACCGATGGATTGTTTTTGGTCCATTTTATAATTAGAATTTGGTAATCTCAGTATAGAGGTCTATAAAAACCGACCTCAAAGGTTCGTGGAATTGCATCTATTTGCCAAGTTTTATTGAAATCGGTTACCGGAAAGTGCGCGAAACCGGATTCATCTCCTAGTTTGCCACCCTTAGAGGTGGAATCCTCTGTCCAACAAACAAAGAATCATCAATATCGGTTCACAAAAAAAAACATAGAGTCGAATTGTGAACCTCCTCCTTTTTTGAAGTCGGTTAAAAAACTTTTTAGTGATTAGCAAAAACATGCTGGATCACTAGACACTTTTGATATGTGATACATATATTAGTGCGCGTAAAGTTAAGGAATGGATATTTTTGAAGTATTGTTTCTATTTTCAACCGATTTCAAAAAAAGGAGGAGGTTCTCAATTCGCCTGTATGTTTTTTTTGTATGTATGTTACGCGATAACTCCGGTATTTGTGAACCGATTTTCATAATTCTTTATTGTTCGAAAGAGAGTACCTCCACAGTGGTCCCATTTAATGTTGAAGAAAATCATCCACCTCTAAGGGAGGCTGTTCAAGCATGAAAATTCATTTTTATAAATAGCGCCTAAATTATAAGGAACAATTATTTTAATGGTTGACTTTGCTATTCTCCAATTAAAGGCGTTTTTCTCTCAATATACTTTGAGTAGTGAGAAGCGATTATTATTATTCCCAGTGTCAAGTCACGTATAGTGGCGAAGTAGGGGATGAATCCGAATTTGCACACTTTCCGGTAACCGATTTCAATAAAATTTGGTAATTATATGTAATTCCACGTACTTTTTAGGTCGGTTTTTTAGTACTGTGCACAGAGATTATATTATTTCTTATCGTTCAGTCATATCTAACATAAAATGGGTAATTTATATCGTTTTCAATATCGCCTTATCAATTTGTGATCGACTATGTTAAATAATATATAATTTCCAAGTCAATAGATGTGCCGAGCAACTTTGAGTAAAATCTAACTTTAACTGTATAAGTAAGTATTCTTTTTGAATGCTTTGATGATCAATAATACTCTCTTAAATTTTGAGAACTCTCTCAGCAATTAGGTGTTAAGGTGTATTTACCAGAGCTGGCAGAAGATCGGTGGTCCATCCGGCCAGGAGCTCACCAGTTTGCACGAGAATGGCTCCGGGCAAATGACCCACAGATTGCCACTTGTCGTTTAGCTTCACCTGAAATCGAAAAAAATGGTGTCAAGCAGTGCAATCAATATGAGAAGCAATTTGAACACTGATTTGTCAAATTCTACATTTTATTAGTGTCATTTATTTTTGATGTAACTAGAAATGGCTTATGATCAAAATATGACATTTACCTAAGAAATGACGGTGAGAACATTGTGCGAGTGGATGGATATCAAGGCAATGGCGACTTACCAAACTCAACTTCAACATTAGTAAGGTGGTATCAAAAGTTTGACAAGATGATAAATAGTGTAGATACTATGTAGTGGCAAGAAGACATTTTTCAGACGACTGTGACAACAATGATGTATTATTATACCATACAGGTTTTACATATCTCGAGGTGGGAACTTTCTCACCTCGAGGCCTCCTTCAGAATCCTGTGTTAACAGCGTGAATGTGCCGTAGTCGGCATGAGCGCCGCAGCGTGTGTACTTCTCGCACTTGCCCTGGCAGCAAGGATCTTCGTCTTCAGGAGGAACTGGTGGGTAGTACAACAGACGCATCGTAGACGGGTTGTTGCCGTCGCTCTTGAGCATACCGGAGTGACAATCTAGAAGAGTTGCGGGTGGGATACCTAAAAATGATTTGATTAAAGTTACTATTGAAATAAAAAATTTGAACGCTTTAATAAGACAAGAAAATGGATTCACAAAACGATCAATTTCAACTGTACTTTACTTAGTTAAATTAGTATAATATAATAAGTCGTAGTAATTAAGTCTAACTTTGTAGTTCTAACTGTTGGTAGTCTTGAAGAGGTAAGGCTGATTCTTACCGAATGCATAAGCAAGGGCTTGAAGTAGGACGCGTGATAGGTTAGTAAGATCTTGGGCCAGAGGGAAAGCGTGCTGAGTGAACTCGGGGACTTCTTCTTGCGCGGGCATCGCGGACGGCAACAGCGTAGTAATGTTGAACGAGTGACGTAGCTCCTGGAAAAGGCAAGAACAAATATTTGATGAGTTCTAGTTTGTGCTTGGTTTAGATCGTTCGAACATTGATTTAGATAGATCATGTCTGATAACCTGATGTATTCACACGATATTTCATTAAGACATTCGTCAACATGTTATCGGTTTACCTAGATAACACCTGAGGCACCCAATTCACTCTGTAGAGATGAATCAATACGTGAGACAACCGATTGAGGCAGCCTACACACTCTGCACATAATATGAATCATCTTATGATGATATACGGACATCACTCATAGGTTTACATACGTACTTAGGTAAGTGATATTTCGCAAAGTGACACGTTGATAAGGGTAAGCTTTTGTTAGGTGTGTTATTGTTTTATTAGGCTTCGGTTACTAACAGTGATTATCCACTTTGGATCGTAAAACCAGTTGGATACCTATTTCGATATCTCTTTGGCGGTTCGATAGCATGCTTTAAACTATAAATGTTTGCAGTCGAGAATTAAACTGCTTGTGTTTCCTTGGTAGCGTCATTACATTAATAAGCAATTTTTGTTGTTCAACTAGGTACTAGAAGAATGGTGGTTGAATTACCTGCTTGGTAGTGTCAAACTGCTCCATCCCGGGTTTTACGTAGCCGTGATTGTTGTCCGGGTTTCTCAGGTACTGCGACTGGCAGCCTTCAGGAAGCGCGCAGAAGTTATCCAGATCCGCGTACACCGCTTTCAACTGAATTGTAATTTATAATATACCGTTAGAACTTCTGAAATTAAACTGAAACTTGTTTGATATTGATTAAGACATATTGAGAAGTAAGTACATCTCATCAGATAGTCTGGTTTTTAAGCATGCCAAGAGAATTCTTTGGACTACAATTGATTGTTGTCAATTAAACTGGTATTGAAAGTAAGATGCAAAGTTGAAATCAGAGGTATAGGTCCCAAATCGGGAACTTGAACCGAAAGTAAAAGCATACTTTTTCTTCTGCGATGCCGTGGTTGACCAACAAGGCGAGCCCTTTAGTGCTAAGAGCTGTAACCAACTGCTGACCGATGCGGCGTACAACAGTTTTCATAGGACATGTATCAGTGCCTGAAACAACGGAAAATCTTATTTTAAACATCTGTAACGGAGTAAAAGTCAATATTAAATACAAGTAAAATCGTAGGAATACTTAGTCACCGACAACGTTGAACATTACTAATAGTTCTATGCTGCAATAACAAATTATTGTCATTACAAAGATCGAACTCTAACTAAAATTCCTTCGATCCGGCTGGGTTCGAACCAGCAGCGCTGTCAGCTTACCGTGTCTGACGCTCTCACAAATGAGCTACCGTACTAACCAGAAGACCTTACGAATTTTTTTATATACTTCTTGTTGAAGATCTTTGTTTTTGATTTTTAAATGGCAAGTCTATAACTGCCTCTGTAGCCGAACGATTATCATGCCAGACTGCCACGCAAAGGTCTCAGGTTCGGGCCGGGAGAAATATTTGTATGGCCTACATTATTTTTCTCGTGAGTTTGGGTGTAATTTGTTATAGTCTATGTGTGTGTCCATGGCACTCGCGACACAAGGTTTCCTTAATGCGGGGCTATGTTGAGTGTGTGCGTTAGTGTGTGTGCGTTATATTAATAATTATACATAGGGCGCACTATAAATTTCCGAAACTGGCCACTTACATAAACAATATTTAAAAAGTAATTACAACAAACAGTAATTACAATAACAACAGGTGACGAAACATGGATTTATAGTTACGATCCCAAAACATAGCAGGAATCGAGCGTATGGGTTTTTCGAGATGAGCCGAAACCATCTAAAGTGGCGCGCGTGAAAGTGCCTATAAGCGGATGATTGCTTCTTTTTTAAATAAAACTGGACACGTGGCTACGTTGCTTTGGAGAATCATTGTACCGTGAATAGTGATTGGTACACTACCATTTGTTTGCGCCCCACGTATAACAAACTAGTGGAGTAAATTCACAAAGAATAATAATTGAATGTCATGGGTAGTAAAACATCGTGATATTCAATGAAGTTAACATTACAATTTTTTTCATTCTTGTTATTAAGAATACGTCATTGGGGGTTCTAAGTAGTCGTCATGTTGAAGATGTCTAGGTAATTCCAAATACATAATCATACAATAGATACATACTCATGCCTAGATCAGTAATCGTACAAGTTTATTGAATACGATAACAATTTTTATTACAACGTTAAAATAATTGTAATAAATGTTAGAAGGAAAAGTATCGATTTTCCTCTATGGAAATTCAAAACGATACATACATACTAGTGTCACGGAAGGAAGTTTGATTATATTATCAGCCATGGGCTAATGAATGGGACAAATAAAGCATCAGGCCAGAGACAACGTCTTGTTGTTGAGGACGTATGGATATTGATTTCAAATGCAATTACAAGAATGAGGAAGGATTGACTGACCTTATGATGTACTTGGTCTTTGATAAAGGTAGACAGTTTATATTTATGTATGTATTTGTTTCTTGAAATCTATACTTTTACTATAGAACATTAAAACTAAGTAATAATAGGTTTCATGATTTCGTTTGTGCAAGCCCTAATTGTACAACACTCGCTACGATAAAGTCCAATGTTTGATCAAACAGGATTACAAAAAGTTGTTTTGTTAAGGAGATTCCCTACATAATGCATGCACAGGTTTACCTCGGTGTACGTACCAGTATATGAATAAAAATATGCATTTTGTTCCGAGTTAGAGCGGTTACACACGGGGACTTTTAGTAGCGATGCAGTAGCTAATTAGGGCTGGTTATCGATTAATTAATGTCATTTGATTCGATTAATGGATAATCGATGATTTCACACCGATTTTTGCTAAAACAAAGAAAACTATATTGCATAAAAATATTATATAAACATGTTAAAATTTGGAAAAAATAACCGCTTTTAAATCCAAATGTTCATTTTATTTAGTCGATTGTCGAAAAATGAAACCTGTGCCCGATACCGTGGCACCAGAAAGATGGTTTACATAAGCTAATCATAAAATTTGTCTCTCGTCGAGTTGCGGACACCAGCACGTTGCACCAAGTACCAAGTACCAAGTTGTCTCTACCACCTTTGAAAAATTTATAATTAATACTGGTGTCTATTATACTACAATATTGTTGTAATTTGAAATAAGGCGGGAAATGAGGGTTATGTTACGAGGTTCCTACGCATGCCGCCTGAGCCGCCACCTGTGTTTTCGAGGTTATTCTAGAAACCCTGGTACTATTAGCTTAAACTTATGGAGCATTGTCTAGCTCTCTCTACACCTGCTCAGTTTTTTATAACTTTAGACATCAGGTAAACAAAGAAGCTGGGTTTGTAAACCGTAAGATATGAAAGTGACGTTATAAAATTTGACTTACACAGCTAAAAAAATTTACCAACAGGAATATGAAGTAATGCAACCAATTAAAATATTTATATTTTGTCGATTTATCGATTCTTTAAGCTACGATTAATCGGTACATCGAAAGTTTTGTCAAAAAAATAATCGATGTCAATAATCTACATTTTGTTGGTCGATACCCATCCCTATAGCTAACCGTCTACCTTTACACAGTCGATGCAATCGCGCGTTTGTATCGTGACTCGTTATCGCCTTATAAATCGCAAGTGTGGCGATGCAATCGCGCGTTTCACGAACACGCGTTTGCATCGCTGCTAAACCCAATGCGTAACCACTCTTAGCTGAAGGCGAGACCCTGACACGGTTCTGTTGACGGTTTCTGATATTTCGGTGTCATTGCAGTTTAAACACATAAATGTACGCATAAGTGTGTGGTAATAAACCGTTTATAAGAAATTTTAAATGCGATTTGAAGCAATATTCTTTTCAAACCTTGTTGCAAGGTATTGTAAAGGTCGTATATTTGGCATGCACATCTTCTATGGTCGACACCATTTTCGTGAAATATGATATTTTGAATTTTGTACCTTTTGTGCCTTAGGTTTATTAGTGTAGTGTGATAAATTTGAAAATAAGATGTGTATTAAAACGTTTATTTACTTGATTCTGCGAGTGTCCGTTCGTGAATATGTTTAGTAATACATGTACTGATCTGGGTAGGTATATCTAGTAGCAAGGCCTAGGAAACTAGGTCGTACCCATGGAAAATATGTAACAGAATTTCTAGAGACAATGGATGCTTCGTTCTAGTTACATTTCTATACTACTATTTAAATTATTTCAACTTTTTTCGAGAAAGATTCACCTTAGTGTATGTTTTAAACTGCGTTAGTACGATTTTATAAACTAAATAGGTACTAAGATACTTAGGCATTAGACATGATTTCCTTGTCAATCACTAATTTACTGTGCCTGCCGTCTTTCGCATAAATGCGTAAATATAACTAACGTAGGCAAGTACATAGGTATACGCATGGTATACACAATAGACAAACACGTTTTTCGTGCTGAAAATTTGGTCTATATAATATGTCCTTATTTCTATATTTAATTAATAATAATAATAATCATTTTTTTCCAATCACAATGGTATTGATGTTATAATAGGTACAAAGGTACAGAGGTTGTAATGACAACGTATTTGACCATTGTGAGAGAGCGGAACCTGTACTAGGATACGCTGTGTTACGTATTATTATTATTATTTTTATACGTATTAGTATTCCGACCCCCCACTCTCAGACTCGATCTAGAAATATGTTTTGAAATTGAAAATAAAATAGAATTAAACTTTGAGTTTATTCTAATTTCGAAATATAATTAATAATTAATAATAAATTAAGCAGCAGTGGGAAGTATAATTTTCATGGTGATATAGTGACATCTTTTTTTATTTATTACGAGTATATATAATGATAATTAACGCAAACAAATTAAATGAAACGTCCTCGATGACCGACGGTTAATGCTGTGGGTGCTAGATGAGGGGTCCAGGATTTGATTCCCAGTAAAACCAATTTGAGAGACTCGGGTGTTTCTGGTAATTTCCAAAACCACAAGGTTATTGGTGTGGTTGTTTGGCACTATTATTATAATATTATCACTATATATAATGGGCTCTATTTCTGTTACCATAACAACAACGTTACCTACATTAATTCGTCGAAGTAACGATTCCGTCTCACAAATCATTTCAAAATTGATTCGGAGGCTATAAATTCATATGAGTTAGTTTATGGTACATTTGTATGACGGTTGTGTGATTCGTTATTTTCGATTCGGCATTTAAATTTTAGACGAGCGCTGGTAGCCCAGTGGAAGATAGGTTGCTTCTCAATTGAAAGGTCGACTGTTCATGTCCCTGTCGCGTTATGTATTATACGACTTTAATATTTAAGTTACGTGCAGTTGCATTGGCACTTTGGACCATCCTTGTTTCTAAGCGCCATAGACTTGAATTTAAACTTGACATGCTATAGACCGTGTAAATGTGATTTTTTTTATTTTATATAATATCAAGTGACGGGACGAACAAGATGTGCGCCTGATGGTAAGCTACACGCCTGTCCATAACAGTTGCAGTGCCACTCAGAGCTTCAAATCGCAAAGATCTGAGGGGACAGTGGCACTGTGCCCGATACCCTAAGGGATAAGTTGACAAGTCCCATGTGCCTGTAAGTCCACCAGCACACTTACCCTTCAAAACCGGAACACAGTAATGTTGACAATTCTGCTTGGCGGCAGAAATAGGTAAGGTGGCAGTACTTCCCTGGACGAACTCTTTCACAAGGACCTGGACTGCTACTATAACATATGTTTACTAACAATACCTCCCGCTAAGAGCGATGCTACAGGATGCGTCGCGTCGATGTTGCGGTATGACGCTGCGTTGTACTACGATTATAAATTAGAACGATATGACACACGATGCGTTGAAACGGCGCGCCGCCGCAAACAATTTAATACGTTGAAATTTGCGACGACGCAACGCGCGTGTCGCATCGTTCTAAATCAGAAAGAATCACACGGGCGCTGTCGGTGCGTTGGTTGCATCGTTGCAACGCTATATTTTCAACGCGTCGAGTGCGTCAGTCGCTCTAAATCAGAACGACATGCCACACAGCGTTGCGACGCTACGAC